CTTGAGTCTCAATATTTGAGACCTCTTCTTGTTGGACAAGAACGGATAGAATCGATGGCGAAAGGTTTATTTGCTAATCAAAAGAAAATTCAACGCGTCTTACGAAAACAAAAGGTAATTGATTACTTGTCCAATGATCAAGGGTGTTACTTTTTTTATGTTTATAAAATAAACATAAATAAGTTCTTGATATTCATGAAATAAAGATAAAAAAATTCTTTATTTTTCAAAAAATAAATATAAATAAATAAATCTTTATTATATATAAAATATAAATAAAATCTTTATATTAACAAAATGAAGATAAATGATTTCTTTATTTTGAAAAATAAAGATAAAATAAAAAATAAAGAAAGATTTTTCTTCTATGTTAGTTAAGTAGACAATTACTTAGTATAACAACGGGATTTGTTAATCGATATTCTTTGTTATCATCAACATCACTTCAAACATGTGATATTATTAAAAATTGAAGCTGATAAAATTTCATTTATCTTTATTTTTTAATATAACTATTTTATTTATATTCATTTTGTAAATAATAAAGATGTTTTTTAGTTATGTTTATGTTTCAAATATAAAGGATATTTCTATCTTTATTTTATAAAGATAAAGATTTGATTTATACATATTTTTTATTGTAAAGAAAAATAGAAAGTAACACTTCTACCAGTGATTATTACTGTACTTTTGTGTTTTAGGTAAACATTTCATTACTAGATGTAGATGAAAATGAAGAATCGATAGACGATTCAAGTTTTCTAACTTCGTTGGTATGATGTTTCTGCTATAATAGATACAAAGAAAATGATCAATTTCAAATTGTATTGATTTAGGAATACAAATTAGCTGATGGTACTGTTATTGATTTAATTCAACAAACTGGTACTAAAGAGCATGTTAATCGTTATGTGACGTCTTTGATGGATCTACTTTATAAACCTGAAGAAATATACTCTATGGAAACAAAAGACTTACCAAAAGATGAAAGATATATGTTGTTAAAAGGTTTGTATACGTTTTATTTTAATTTTTGCATCGACAATAATGGTGTTACTTTAGTATTTTTCTTGACAATAAAGAATATGTATAAATCAAATCTTTATCTTTATTTTATAAAGATAAAAATATCCTTTATATTTGAAACATAAACATAACTAAAAAAAATCTTTATTATTTACAAAATGAATATAAATAAAATAGTTATATTAAAAAATAAAGATAAATGAAATTTTATCAGCTTCAATTTTTAATAATATCCAGGGCTGCCAAGTGTACCCCATTTCGGGGTATTGTACCCCATTTTGCTATTTTGTACCCCCAAAAAAATTGTACCCCTGGGGTACACTTTTTTGTACCCCATTTGGATTTTTGAGCTTTTCATATCATAAACTGATTCTTAATATATATAAATTGTGTTTTACAATGAAGCTCATAGTGTCACTGTAGCGACATTTATAATGAACAATATTGATGAAAAATCGACCAATGATTATTAACATCTGTTTTATTCATTTAGTTTTGTTGTATCTAAATTTTTCCTATTTTCAGATCAAAATAAATTTCGATAGGTCTTTTCTTTTTTCCTTGTCTTTGTCTTCGTGTCATATTTGACCGGTGTATAATAATTATATAATTATTTAGATTCAAGTATTACTCCATGGATGATGATGCGAATCTTCAATTGGAATCAGATAAAGAAAATGAAATCCGAATATTGGAAGAATCTGAACCGAAAACAACAACTGAAAAATCTTCTTGTTCTACTATAAAGTCAACCACAAAAACCAAAGAAAAAAATACTTCATCATCAAAAACTAAACGTCTTTCTGTTTTTAAGAAACAATGGATAAAAGATTCAAAATATGCAGGTTTTCTTCAAGAATGCAAGACAAGCCCGTATCTCGCACATTGTTCAATTTGTAAATCAGATTTTTCGATTGGGAATGGGGGAACATATTTGATTAATCGACATCTTGAACAAGCTACACATAAACGTTTAGTTGAAGTACAAACGAAAGAAAAATGTAAAAAATATTATTGACGCACTATAACATTATATTTAATTAATTTGTTTTTCTCATTAAGCACGTTCAATGGATGATTTTGTAACTCCATCAAGTGTTTTAACAAAATTAACTGCTGCTGAACTTGCTTTTGTATATCACGGTGTACATCATGGACATAGTTATGTTAGTCAATCATGCACAGTTGATCTTGTGAAAAAAGTTTTTCATGAATCCATTATAGGACAAAATATTACTTGTAGTAAAACAAAGGCACGTGAATTATCAGTAAATGTTCTGGGTAAGATAATATATCTACCGCTATAAAACTTATTTCACTAGCAAAAATAGAAACCTATTATCTATATTTATATTTAGAAAATAATTATACTCTAAATTTATCTTTTTTTATTAATAAAGTGGTTTTAATTTTAGCTCCTTTTTTCACATCCAAAATCCTTTGACAAGTAAAAAAGCATTGTTTTTATTCTATATCTTTTGATGGACCTAGTAAAGGAAATATCAAAATGTTCCCGTTTATCATCAATCATTTTACTCTTCAATCAGGTTTAGTAAAATCTGTATTAGAAGTTGTTAATCAACCCCGTGAAACAGCTGATGATATTGTAGCTTCTTTACGTGATGTATTAAAAATGAATGATATTGATATTCAATATATGACATCTATTGGTGCTGATAATACTAATACAAATTTCGGTTGCAATCATTCTGTATTTAGTTTAATAAAATCTGAAGTTTCAAATTTGTTGAAAGGTAATATTACAACAACAATTTCAAAATTTGAACAGATTCAAAAAAATACCTTTTTTTTTATTAGGTAACTGCTATTGTCATATCCTTCACAATTCAGTGAAAAATTCTCATCACCTTCTATTAGTTGATATTGAATCAAGTTTATCTCAGCTTTACAGTCATTTTAGTTCATCATCTAAAAGAGTTGCAGAACTAAAAGAATATTTTGAATTTGTTGAAGAAGATTATCTGGTAGGTATTTGTAGTTTTTGCTTTATATTTTAATATAAATTACAAGCTACTATCTCTAGCGTTTATTACAACGCATAAAACTTCGTTGGCTTACTTTATATATATCAATTGCGCGTTTATTAAAAGTATATGATCCATTATCTGCGTATTTTTTAAATATGGATAATGAAGATGAAGCAAAGTGTCCACCTTCAATCAAAAGATCTTTTTCATCAGATGTGGCCAAATGTACATTACATTTTTTACCTCAAGTTTTGTTTGATATTCAAACAAAGAATTTGGAACTTCAACGATATGGTACTTCAATTGCGGATTTGCATCGGATTATTACGAACTTACTTAAAAAATTGAATAATCGATTAGAACAAAAGTATTTTGGATATCAAACAAGAATATTATTAAATGCAATGCCTAAAGATGTACAAGAGAAATTGATTTCTTCATTTGTAAAATATTTGAGAAGTATAATTCAATATATACACAAGTATTATGATGAACATTCATTATTAGCTGAATCATTAGCTATTTTTAGTATGGTTTTTATGACTAAGCACGAACAAAATAGAACTCTATCTGCTTATAGGTATAACTGAAATTGATCAAATTAAATTCGATCAAATTGAAAAGTGTGTTGCTATTCTTAATCTTGATGTTGATCATGACAAATTATTCAAGGAAATGATTAGTTTACAAAATACATATAAAGAAGTTAATTCTTATCGTGAACCATTATTTGTTCAAATTGAAAAATATGTTGGTGGTCATGAAATCGAAAAACAAATAGTTAATGAAGTACTTGAAGAATCAGATGATGAAGAACTTGTTCACAAAACACCAACACCAACACAAACACAAAATCATCAAGATAGTTATCATAAAATTCGACCTGATCAGCTTTGGGCATTCTTAATTACCAAAACAACAACAAATTGTGATGAAATGACAAAGCTGGTTTCTTATGCATATTCAATTCCATGTTCTAATGCATTTGCCGAAGGTGTTTTTAGTCATATGAAACATTTATGGACAAATAGTCGAAGTTCAATGTTAAGTGAAACTGTAGCTGCTGAATTAAAAATACGATTGAATTGTAAGATAAAATGTAATGAGTTTTTTTACATTTGTTCAAAATGAACCTAAATTATTCAAATGTGCTCGACGACAAGAAAAGTATAGCCATATTAAAAAACCTTGTTCTAGTTGATTACAATATTTAGCATGTCTTCATTGGAAATTTTGTATTGTTTTGCAGATTATAGGTGTCCCATGTAAAAAAAATAATCAAAAAAACGATTATAATCAGACGATTTTAATCAATAATTTAAGCAGTAATATTCA